CATAAACAAGACAAGCATTTTAATGGCAACTTTGTTGAAATTATGATGCATCTACTGCGAGATGGTATCACCTCTTGTTGGCATAGTCCTTGGGTCTCAGGTTTATCTAGGATTAAAGGAGACTGTGAGAACGACTTCCGTAAAGTTCTTTTGGTACCAGCCAGGGTCTTACTGGAGTGAGGCCCTCTTGGAATATGGTTGCCAGGGTGACCAGGGTTATGTTAGCTGCTTGTTCTGTGTGTTTCCAGGCCTTGCCTCAAATTTGGGATTTTAATAGGGATTCTTAGCAGAATACCATGGACTGCCTCAGTTTACCCCTACACATGGAAAAGAGGGGGAAGGATATTGAGCTGGGAGGGGGAAAAGGAGTAATTAGACCTTTTTCTGTGCAAATCTTTCCACTGTAAGTGGAGAAGATGTCTTATTTATGTTTTGAATTGGCTGTACTACAGGAAAGATGCTTCCCACAGTATTCAGCAGTGCTATCCCTACTGTTCAAAATCATGAGTCAAGTTCTTAAAAATCATATGATTGACTTAAAATAATGGGATTTTAACCAGATACAGTTGTAGCACTTATTTGCCCTCTGGAGTTTGAGCCCATTAGGTTCCCATTTTGAGGGGGTTTTTTCTCTCCATATCTGTTTTAAGAGGTCATAAGGAACTAAGGTTTTAAATTAAAAGATTGTGCAGTCTGAGAGTTGTCACGATTAGTTTGAGTGATACTATTGAATGGAAAGTTGCTTCAGAAGAATGAGTGGTTTATTAAAAATACTGAGTTGAGAGGCATTTCACATTTATTAAAATAACACCCTCCAGCTAGTGCAGATTCCTTTCTACCAAAACCCCAACTGTTTATAATTCTGCACAGACCTGTCTGGTAGGTGGTACACCTGGCCCTGACCACTCAAAGCTCTTATCCCTGTGCCAATGGTAGATTATGGGCCCATAATAAGGGAGTCTCCATATGCACACACTCAGCAACACTTCATTCTTGTAAGAGAAAGAAAAGGAGCTGATGGATGTAGTGGCAAGCATTCACTGCAATGAAAGGCAGACAAAGACAGACATTTAATTGGAAAATGGGGCTCTTGTGGGTGGTTCCAGCTCTGCTTCCTACTGATGTCTTGCAACTTTTGGTTAATGGGTAGCAATAAAGAGCTGATTGCTACTTGGTGGCAATACAGATACACTTACACGTTTTTAGTCTTTTTTGGGGGGAATCTTAATTTCTATTTTTAATAAGTGTGCTACTCTTGGCAAGCTGTCCGTGACCAAGTACATTCCATGGAGCGAGAGAGAAAATGATTCAAAGAGCAATCAGTTTGTCCTACAGAGGCTTTTCATTTCACATATATAGCAGAAAAAGGAGAATGACCAAGAATCCTTTGTTTATCCCACATTCCTTCTGTACAATTAGTTGAATTAGACATTAATGAACAAGGTATTTTTCCTTAGAAAAAAAGTTAATCTCCACCAAAAAAAGGCCTACATCAATCTACAGGGTCTTCAGTAGCTTGATTTCAAATATGAATAACCACGATTCTTGTCACAGTCAATCTGTTGGCAAAGGCTATGTCTAGACTACAGAGTTTTGTTGGAAAAACGGCCCTTCCACTCCACAACCTACGTCCAAGCAGGTGAGGAGGCACCAGAAATGTACCTTGAGGTGGCCAAAGGTGCACTCCACCTGGATCCTGGCTCAGTTCAGGTGGGCATTAAACAGGTCCCTGCTGGGATCCAAGTGGCCGAAGTATGACTCCATGAGCCATGGCATGAGGGGGTATGCCGTATCCCCCACTATGCACAATGGCACATGAACATCACCTACCACAAAATCCCAGTGGGGGAAGAATGTGCCTGCCTCCAACGTCCTGTAGAGGCTTGAGTTGCAAAAGACTCAGGCATCGTGTGCCCTGCCCAACAAAAATGTCAGTAAATTGTCCCCGGAGATCAACCAAGGCTGCAGGACAACAGAAAAGTATCCCTTTTGGTTAAGATATTGGGCTGCTCGATGGTCCAGTGCTCGGCTGGGGATATGGGTCCCATCTATCAGCGATTTGGGAACCACAGGGCGGCAAATCCAGCCATAGTTGCTTCCAGGTCTGAGACGGACGAGCCTCCTCAGCAGGATGGAGTTGATGGCCCTCACCACCTGCACAAGGAGACAAAGAAACACACAAAACAGAGAATGAGAGAGGGGATGCCTGGGCCCTTGGGAGGTGCCTGCCCTACTCCTGCACCATCCCCTCCCAACGACCCCAGGAGACACCCCCTATGAGATTGCTCCCCACCCCAGCAGCAGGGCTGTGTGAGGGCAGGACAGCACAAGCCCCCAGGGACAGGGCTTCCCCCCACCCCCACCTCCCAAGCCCCTTTTCCGGAGCGTCCGCCTTGGGCAACACTCTCCCTCCGGTGCAGGGACTGTAGCCCGAGAGTGCCTTACCTCCGCGAGGAGGGCCCCGACGGTGGACTTCCCCACGCTGAACTGGTTGCCCACCAACCGTAGCTGTCGGGAGTGGCAAGGTTCTATGGGGCGATGGCGACCTGCTTCTCCAGGGGGATGGAGGGACCGCAGGTGAGTGTCGCATCTTCAGAGGGTGGGGGTGAGCCACACAGCTCCAGGAATGTGGCCTTCCACATGCGGAAGTTTTGGAGCCACTGCTGGTTGTCCCACCGCTCCATCACCAGCCGGTCCCACCAGTCCAAACTGGTGGCGAGCCTCCAAAAATGCCTCTCCACTGTGGGGTGCGGTTGCCAGAGTGGAGCAGCCGCAGCCACGGAGAAGGACTCCAGAATGAGCTTAGGGTCTAGGTCCTGCAGGACCAGGAAGGTAGACAAACTACTGCAGAAACTGCAGCATGGCCATGTGGGGCCATCACATGCCCAGAGGCAGCTCTGGCTCCATGACACACAAAGGAAAAAGCTGTAGCATCCAAAAAAAGAGCAGGGCAACCACAGCACGTACTGCTAAAGCTTTGCTGTCCCTTGAAGAGATAGGCAAGCACGCAGCAGAAACAGAAACGGCTGTCCAGAGGGGTTCCTTTAAGCACATGTCTCTGCAGGGCTCCGGCAACAGCACTGGGAAGCAACTGGTGACCTAAAGCCCAGCATGAACTGGTTCCGGGTGACCTTTTACACGAGAGAGCGTCTAATCAGTCTAGATGCTTTCGCAAAAGTGCATCGCTTTTTCAATGCACTTGTGTGTGTGGATGCACTCTTGCACAAGAAGTTTTTTTGGAAGATCTCTTCTGATAAAAACTTCTTGTGCAAGAAGCCTGCAGTCTATACATAGCCAGAATGACAGCCCCTCTCGTTTACACATAAGACTACAGCCATTGACATCAGCGGGACTACACCTATGGAAAGGGGCAGGATGTAACTGTGTTCATAAGCACAACACAAATCACAGTCCATTTCTCAGCAGGATTCTTAAATGTAGCCCTCCTTTGCAAGGACTATGTCAATGCTAAATTTGAACCCTTAGCTCATCCAGTGCTGGATGGAAACAGAGAATGGGGCAGGGCGGGGAGAGGAGCAGCCCTGCTGACCTGGGCAAGGAGGTCAAAGCCCAAGCCCAAGGGCTTCATATCTGGGCAGGGGGCCTGAAACATGGGTCAGTGGGGCTCAGGTTCCAGGTGCAGCCCTGGGCCCCAGCAAGTCTAATACCAGCCCTGGTGATCCCCGTAAAAGGGGGTTGCGACTGTGGGATCCCAACCCACTGGTTGAGAACAGCTGGCCTAGTGTCTAGGGCTCTCTCCTGTTTCAAGTTCAGTGTACTTGTGTGGAAGTGATGTATTTTCCCTGGATAAAAGGGCCATTCAGTCATTTTGTTTGTTCATGACAAAGGCAAAAAGCAGGCCCATGGTAGCAGAAGATCTCACTAAACTCAGTGATTGGGCAGCAAAATGGCAAATGAAATTTAATGTGGATAAGTGTAAAGTAATGCACATTGGGAAAAATAACCCCAACTATACGTACAGTATGATGGGGGCTAATTTGGCTACGACAAATCAGGAAAGAGATCTTGGAGTTATCGTGGACAGTTCTCTGAAAACTTCCACAGAAAAGGGCAACTAAAATGATCAGGGGTGTGGAACGGGTCCCATATGAAGAGAGGTTAAAGCAACTGGGACTTTTTAGTTTAGAGAAGAGGAGACTGAGGGGGGATATGATAGAGGTATATAAAATCATGAGTGGTGTGGAGAGGGCAGATAAAGAAAAGTTATTTATTAGTTCCCTAAATAGAAGAACTAGAGGACACCAAATGAAATTAATGGGTAGCAGGTTCAAAACAAATAAAAGAAAGTTCTTCTTCACACAGCGTGTAGTCAATCTGTGGAACTCCTTGCTAGAGGAGGCTGTGAAGGCTAGAACTATAACAGAGTTTAAAGAGAAGTTAGATAATTTCATGGAGGTTAGGTCCATAAAAGGCTATTAGCCAGGGGATAAAATGGTGTCCTTGGCCTCTGTTTTTCAGAGGCTGGAGAGAGATGGCAGGAGACAAATCGCTTGATCAGTGTCTTCGGTTCTCCCTCTGGGGCACCTGGTGCTGGCCACTGTTGGCAGACAGGATACTGGGCTAGAAGGACCTTTGGTCTGACCCAGTACGGCCGTTCTTATGTTATTATGCAAGAAAACCACTTAGGCTTCTGACGCCCATCTGTGAATTAGGAGTAGAGATGCTGCCAAATGTTCTGAGAGGTGCTGGGTTTAGGCCACACATCTCTTTAGCATCAGCCATTGGCTAGCTTCAGTGACTGCCCACCTAGCAGGCTGGCTTTTGTGGATCCCTTATTCTTAGGCCTTTTTCTTCCTTGGGCATTGTCTAGGAAGCCTGGATGACTAATTCAGTGTTTATGGATCCCACTGGATGGCTAGGTGCCTAGAAACTGGCTGTTGCAGTGTCCATGTCCCGTTGTGGACAAGCTAATACCCAACAAAAGGGGAAATAGAAGCCAAAAAGAATAAGTTAGAGGAAAAATACCATCACAAGAGACTCATTAGAAATATAGAATTTATTTCCTCTTTTACAATAATGCTGCAGTGCATGGACATTCCCAACAGGCCATTTCTTTTACTGAAAGTGACTTACAAGTCCTGTTTGTAGTGGATATTGCTAGCCCAGCCATGAGCAAGCTTGCTGTGGTAGCTGATCCCCACAGAATTTTTAAGCTATCAGCATTCTAAAAAAAGTTACTGCACTCATCATAAAATTACATCTGCTACAGTACAGAGGAATCCGTTTTTTCAGTGAAGGCCCCAATCATCTCTCCCCTTTCCTGTTTCCAATCTGGAGACGCACGGTAGCTAAGGGATTGGATCCCGTGTACAACCTCCTATATATCTTCAGGTATCAGTTTCAAAGAGGCAGTTCTATGTTTAGAGGCCATCTGAGGTCCTGGCTGGGTTTGAAGGGGATGCTGTTACGACTGCCCTCCTCTCTCGGTCATTCACCTTCTTACCTCGCATACATAGAAATACAAACAAATCTGCATAAGGACAGAACCAAGACTGCCCAAGATTAGCTAAGAACTGTCTAACAAGATAGGCAGCCTCTCTGAGCAGGAGAGAAAGTAGCTGTTCAGCAAGTAAGTTTCTTTACAGTTCCCAGGTGACTGTAGCAAAAAGCATTATTTTCACACACAGTAAACTGACAGACCAGACTCCCGGTATGTGCATCCCTTTTGGAGATTCGAGGGAGAATACTGATTTTAAAAAATTGCACTTTCTTCCCCTAGTTTTAAGTAGGGTTAAAGTTCTATCCCATGATATCTATAGCTGCAATTCAGTAGAACATCATGCTTGCAAGAAAAATACATAACAAAATTTTGCCCCGTGTGGATGTTCTGCCCCATCCCACATAAAGGATATGCACACACATTAGAATAGGTTTGGTTTTTCTAAGTGCAAAACCCATGGTATTCCTATAAGGGCTAGTCCTGAGACGCTTGACTGGAAAAGTCGGGATTCAGTCTGATTCTGCTCCCATCGATAGATTTCCTGTTGGTCCATTTCCTACTATCATCTTGCTGTAGTTTTTCTGCTGCTCCTCCTTGAAAGTGTCTTTGACTTTGGCCCTTTTCAGACCTCCATCCCTGGAGCACAGAAGACAAAAAGGATGCAGTTAAAGGTTTATTTCAACCTCCAGAGAAAAAGTGAAATCAGAGTTGAGCCCCTAAATGCTTTTGATGATCTGGGCCAAAGCCCCTAAAGATATGCACCCCTTTAACCTGGTGACATTCATCTAGACTTCAGTGTGACGGTAGTGCTTGCATGGAGATCTCATTTGTCCCTTGTTCCTTGAATTTCACTTCCCATCCTCCTTGGCTCTGTAGGGCCCTGAATTCACTTGTGCATTTTGATTGCTCTCAGGGCCTTGCTCTGGAATTTTCTAAACATGGGCCACTGTATAGCACTACACGCTCTTGGAGTACTACAGACTAAGGGTACATCTAGACTGCAGACTTTTGTTGACAGAAGTTTTGTCGACAGATACGGTCAACAAAGAGCGTCTAGACTACATCCAGTTCTGTCAACAAAGCAAGCTGCTTTGTCGACATGAGTGTAGACGCAAAGGACAGTGTAGATGCAATAACACCTTCTGTCGACAGAACTCCATTGACAAAAGGCGTTATTCCTTGTAGAATGAGGTTTACAGACGTCGACAAAACTGCTGAATTCTGTCGATATTATGTCGACAGAACTCAGCGGCAGTGTAGACGCAGGTATAGTTTTGTCAACAAAAGTCCAAAAGACAAAACCCTGTAGTCTAGACACACCCATACTGAGGCAGAGTGCTCAATGGGTAGGAGCCCTGCAGAATTGGGTCCTAGGCTCAGCTTTGCTCACATCACCTCTACATGTTTCTAGTTGTTGAATGGCGAAGACTGTTCTGGGCTTTGGAGAAACTTTTACCCAAAACTCATTGTTCAAAGGCTCTGTACTGTCATCCTAGGACTACATAAAAAACCCTTTTATATGGAGGTGCCCGAATAGCCAAGTCCCTCTTAATCTACCTTCTCCTGACTAAGATCATTTAAGTTAAATATCCCATAGGATGAGACAGTCAGAGTCCAGGAAGTGCTTAAGTCTCCTAGACAGTTTAGAGCAGCAGTTCCCAACCTTTTCCAAATGGGGACCCATTTTGACAATTCAGGAAGACTTAGTGACCCAAGGCAGTTCAAAAATGTGGGGAAAAGGAGGGGCCAGAGCCACCTGGGGAAGACACTTGGCGACCCTTTTGAAATGTAATGCTGACCCATATTTGGGTCCCGACCCATAGGTTGGGAAACCCTGGTTTAGAGAGTCTCAACTACATTCTAGATCAGGGCTACTCAACTTTGGAAGCCCCAGGGGCCACAATGAAACTCACAGCACATGCCGAGGGCCACAACTTAAGTGTGGTTGCTGTGGTGTTTTAGATGCTGCTTGTAATTATTAGAACTGGGAGCACTGGCTGTTAGGAATCTGGAAGCACAGGAAACAGGGAGGGGGGAGGAGATGGGCCAGGCCTGAGTGAGAGCTACAGAGGGGAGCAGCAGCAGCTTTGTAAAGAGGTTTCACCTTTGATAAATAAAAGGCCTGTTGAAGTTTGTCACTACCTTGCTTGCATGATACAACAGTTGCATATACATGCAAATAGCTTTTTTCATACTGACAGGCTTGAATACAAAGATTAAGGGAAGATTACACAACATGCAGGCCGCATTTAAGTCAGTTCTGCTGCTAATAAAATGCAATACTTACCTGATTTCCACCCATAACACTGCACTTTTAATGAACAACAACAGTCCAGGAGTTTAACTACTAAGACGCATGTCAACAGAATACCATGATATTGACTACTTTGTTTTGGCTTCACAATTAACAAATCAAACAAAAACTGCCAATACAGTACTGGAATTTACTGGAGCAGACGTACAATCAGCGTGAAGATTGTATCTGCAAACTTTTCACCGGCTGTTTCACATCAGGCTTGTATCCTGTTGTAGCAGCACGGAGACAGTCGGTCACATGTCTGTCAGTAAGAGATGTGCGCAGTTTTCACTCGATTCCCATGGAGGAGAATGAACTTTCACAGACATATGTAGACCCAGAGCAAGTTAACACTTTTTTTGGTACGTTTCAGTAATGCAGAGTACATGTCTTCCTGTACACAAGCCATCCAAAATGTTTCAATGTCCTCCTCTTCCTTCTGCCTAGCTTTTAGAAAACTATGGTTTTGCAGTTCTATCTCCTCTTCTTCAGATGTGGCCCTCTCAACACTTCTGAAGGTGAGACTGCCTTTACCTCAACTGAAAATGGATTTTCAGTAAATTCAAGAACTGTCTTCAGGGATCGGATATCTAGAAAACGAGAAGAAAATTTGGTTCTCAGCTCTGAGATGTACTCTTAAAAAAAAAAGTCAGGCAAAAAAAAAAGATGCATGCTCACTCTGCTGTGTCACTTGTGAGTTGAGGATGGGAAAGTGAGTTAAGTCTCTCATGAAGCGGCTCTGCAAAAAGGGCCAGTTTGTGTTTCAAATGAAGAACCATCACACAGAGAAGGCAGGGTTTTTTCTTTGCCTAGAAGTTTAAGATTGAGAGCATTTAAGTGGCATGTCATATCAGTAAGAAAAGCCAC